GGATCATGTGACACTGAAGACTGAAGTAATGATGCTGAAAATTCAGCTTTGATCACAGGAATAAATTACATTTTTACATATATTCACACGGAAAACAGTTCTTTTAAATTGTAATATTTCATAATATTACTGTGTTTTACTCAAATAAATGCAGCCTTGGTGAGCAAAAGAGACTTTTTTATATTCCAAACTTGTGACAGATAGTGTATACATATAATAATAAAATGGCCATCTTTCCAGGATAGATAGGTATATACGATAAAATAATTATTTTTTCATCATAATATAATAACAGTCCCATATAAAACATTATCCAACCATACAGAGACCAAGGGCAACTTAAAATAAAGGTAATTAAATCATAGAGTTAATCCATCATCTTTTCTGGTATTTTCAATCTACCTCGTGAGGGACTTTCCTGAAGGTTTAGTCCTGTGAAATCTTGCTCCAAACCTTGGGGTGGATGTGCTAAGAAATATAAAAGTAAAACATACTGTCATCACAATGAAAGGCCTACCTCACAAATATATAAAAAAATGCATGGCTGGGTATAAAATGCTGTCTTACTAGGGAACATGTCGCTCTCCTCCACATACAGTTCTGGTGAAAACTAAAAATGAAGAAAAGAAAAGAAGAAAAAAAACAATTCCCAAGTCAGTCTGTGTATGTCGTATCTGATGCCACAGGCTGTCCATTTGAGAGTGCTTTAAAGAAAAACCAGACAAACACAGATTAAACCTGATGAAACAGATACGCACATCAGTCTCTTGAGAGCCCTCGGATCCTGAAGCTGGAGAGGAGACAAAACAAATATCAGATTTAACAGTTCAATCAATCTTCTTAATGGCATCAACCACAAATGTAATGCTTCCTACCCGCAGAATGAGGTTCAGATGGAAACTGATAGACTTTATGTGGATTAGCGGCATCGTTCTTGCTGTCAAATATAATCTTGAAGCCTTTAGCACGAAGAGCGCTACGGAAGTTTCTCTTCCAAACAGGGGGATCTCCGTTTATCCTGCCATCTCCAGCGACGCTCGTCTGAGCCCACGCCTGACGGGGACAAAATACAGTTATCAGAAGAAAAGTACTCCATGTCTGCTCTGACGGTAATACCATGCTTATATACTATGGTACTGAATGATTTATATTGATATAGGTATTTACCTGATACTCCAAGGTACTTAAAAAAAAACTTACATTAAATGTAATATGTGGTGTTGCTTGGTTGTAATAAATATAAATGTATAAATGCTGATTGTAATGGAAGTGTAGTAAATTATAAGGTATTATCAATAATATACTAAATATACAATTGAATTACCAATAGTAGTTTCATTAGTACCTTGGGGTACTTGAAATAATTTTATAATACTTTTTTTTTTTGTTACTCATTTAAAATACCATCCCTTGTCAAAAAAAGAGGTACTCTTTAGCATACTTTCAAAAAGAGTACTTATGGAGATGATACACTTTAAAAGAATATACTTGGGCACTTAACTGCATGTTATTTACAATTAAATTAAAATGTATTTAGTTTAAATACATTTACAATACGTTTATCACAATACATTTATAATACATTAAATACATTATTAGTTCAAATGTACCTTAAAGGCACAATATGTACGATTTTTTTTATTAAAATATCCAAAAACCACTAGAACAGTGTTATATATTCTGCTGACTTGTGTATTTACATTATCCCAAATGTTTCAAAGAATGTTTAAATCCAGAGAAATAAGCAATTTTAACTAGTGATACGGACCGTGTTCATAGTGTCATTGTGTCGCCTGCTAATAATGTCATAACCAGTGTTGGGGAAAGTTACTTTTAAAAGTAATGCATTACAATATTGCTTTACTCCATAAAAAAGAAGTAATCTGATTACGTAACTCGCGTTACTTGTAATGCGTTACCCCCAACACTGGTCATAACCCCTCGATTTCCGGTTTTGTTTTGTAGAAAATATAGAAACACCAAAGAAGCTTTAATATGTTGTGTGTTTTAATAGACCGGTGACGACCGCACAGAGTAGCATTATAACAGAACTTTCAAATGTATCTAGTATGATAAAACAGCGCTGCTTTACCCCACATACGCACGACCGGAAGGAGCGGAAGCAGTCGACTGTGGCATAATAAAAGCTCCGCTGCTGTGTCGTGCTCGTTCAGCGGCCTCGTTTCGCTTCGACGGCTTTCAGCCTCACCCTGCTTCATTCTACTATGTTAATAAATCATTAGCTCATCCATGAACATGATTTCTGCCCGAGTCCCGTCGGATTGCATCGGCTGTGGGGATGAAGACCACAACTCCCATGATTCCACACTCAGTCACTGCGTCATCAAACTACGCCTTTGCCTCGTTGTTTATTTTGAATACGCGCTCTCCAGCGGCGAAAATTACATATTGTGCCTTTAAATGCAATTAGTTGAACTTAAGAGTGCTTTTTTGACCCACTTAAGTATGATTTAAGTACATCTTATGTGTCATAATTCATAATTACTTCGGTTGTTTTATATTGTTGAAGTGTAGGCTATTACCGAGTGTACTGACAAGCATTTATGGCAAACTAAAATATTGTAATAATTACAGATTTGTATCAGTGGTACAGTAATATTACAGTGTATCAGTAATAAAACACTATACAATTAGATAAAATTGTACTTTAAATGAGCTTTAGTCAACACATCAAAATAAATTTACTTCTTTAAAGCAGACAAAAGCAATTATTACAAATTAACATTATTACAAAATGCACTTCTTGAAAGTGTATTTAAGTGTAAGAAACAGTCACGAAAAGTGTAGCCCTACTCTATTTAAATAAGTAAAATAAAATGTAGACTTGAAGTACTGCAAGTGCACATTTAATAAAGTTAAACACACTTCTTTTTCTCAAGGGATGCCACATAAATAGGGTATTCATTAAGCACCATGGTGAAAAAAACTACACAGAAATGTCTTAATGATGCATGACAAATAATCTCACCTTGAATATGAGGACATCAACATTGTTGGAGTCCTGTCTTAAAGCGTGCTTCCATGGAATGCTAAACTGTCTTTGTTCTTTATTGGTCCAACACACTCCAGGATAACTTCCACTTTGGATTTGTTCATACAACCAGGGCACGAAGAGTGGTTTTGGTTGGGCCATGATGCAATCAGACTATACACACCAAACCATCAATGTACTGCACAAACAACACAACCGAAAACCATGCTGAAAAATCCTCATAGTCATAATCAGTCATTCTTGAGAAGTGGGACAAAACAGGGTGCAAAATTGTAATGAAAATATTGTTATTTTTAAAACTAATAGCAGTTAACTACCCTTGCTGGACCTGTTTTGTCCCATGTCTCAAGAATGACTGATATACAAACGTTCACAACCGCTATAAAACCCCTAAGTAAATACAGTACTTTCTGTTACTGTCAATGTTTGAATTCATGAAACTAAACTATACAGTATAATCTTTTCTTACATATCACAGTTCACATTTTCATTTTAGAAATGACATATATTGGAAAGACATTCTGTATAATGAATAATATGATCTCTGGGTTTATATAACACCGTAAGTATAATAACAAAAACACCATGCCATTTAATCGTGACTTACCTCGAGTCCTGTGGCCTCTCTTGGGTTTTTCAGCGAACTCTTCAGATGCCAGGACGATGAGACGGGCTTGTTTGTCAGTGCTGCTTTAATACTGAACTTTTTTCCAGATATTGTGCTTTATGATCAGGTGTTAGACATTACTCGGGAAATCCATGTCAGTTTCGATTTCCCATTTTGACGTCATTGCGCACGTCGCTCCAGGAGTGTCTCACCTTAGACGGCCACTAGGTGGCGCAGACGACCATTACAATTAAATAACATGGCAAGTTTGAACAACCTGAAAATCAATAATTACATATATATATATATTACTATTACTTGTTTCGCTTCTGTTTCAGTTTTTTATAACCATTTCTTACTATGTATAAGTAAGTTGTTGTTTTTTAGCATGTAGACGACCATTACAGTTAAATAACATGGCAAGTTTGAACAACCTGAAAATCAATAATTACATATATATATATTACTATTACTTGTTTCGCTTCTGTTTCAGTTTTTTATAACCATTTCTTACTATGTGTCAGTAAGTTGTTTTTTAGCATGTGTGTCTGGCAGTGTTATTTTTTAGGATTACTGATAAACTACTGTCGTTTGATTTGTATTATTTGTATTTGTTATTTATTTTAATTTTAGTTAAATTATGTCTGAATTTATGATGTCTGTATAGGTCTTTTATTAAGTTTTATTAGAGTTATTTTAATACTTCAACAAACTAAATGTGAATGAAATAATATATTGAATTTATAAATGTGTATGTATATATACAGTATATATGTATGTGTGTGTGGTTGTACATACACACATATGTAGTTGTTTTTTTTTTGGTGTTTGGCTTAGTGTTATGTTAGAATCATTATTATACTCATACCTTTTGTTCTTTAATATTTTGAATTGTTTTTAGCTTTATTTTTTGTTTTTCATTTAAAAGTTTTTACATTTTGTTGTATGCATTTGTCATTTCTATTTAATCTCTTTATTTTTAAAATGTGTATAGGTAGTATTTATAAAGTTTTAGCTTTGGATCTGTTTTTAGTTGTTTTAATACTGCAATTGATTGCTTCTGTTGTCCTCATTTGTAAGTCGCTCTGGATAAAAGCGTCTTAATTAATGACTAAATAAATAAAATAAAAAATATTGTTGTATTAACACAATGACTTTAATACGTTCCAGATCAGTACACTTCTCAAGATTTATATTTATTTGTTTTAGAGGGAATGTGGTGCAGAACAGAACTGAGGTGCTTAATAATGCAAAAAAATAAAGAAATAACCGGAACACGCCTACTTGTATGTCCTATTATGAATGTTTTCCATATTTTAGAATAATCATCAAAATGATGACCAAAAATGTCAAACCAATCAAAAATGCAGTAAAAAAAACTTTAGTTCTAATTTATAATTCTCAAAACAAAAAAAAACTAAGAATGTAAGCATGTCTTTATATCAAAAGTTATTAGGGTCATGAGAAATATTATTTATATAATACAATTATTCATATAATAGGCATATATTTATAAATATATGATTTATATAATAGGCAAGCTACTTTTTGACATATTTGCAAATTGATATACATTTCAGGTCAGAGTTGTACTTTCTGGTTATACTTTCTGAAAATATTCCAAACCATTTCTGACCATTTATTATCAGAAAAAGCTAGACATTTTTTACTTTTTCTAAGAAGTTCCTGGCTGGAAATACCCATCTGCGAAGATAAGGAATGGTTAAAGAGAAGATAGAGAGAACAAAGCATGAAAAACAACAGCAATAATAAACAATAACAGCAAAAAGAGGAACTGTAATGAAGTCATGGCCGAAGTTCAAGAAAAAGTACAAACCTTTGCATTTAGAAATTTAGGGAAGAAAGTTCTGTGGAAGCCCCCCAAAAAAACAGATTTCAAAAGGTCTGACTTGACTGTAATTTTCACCTGTCACAACGGTTAGGGTTAGACTTTTCAGCGTGAACCTGAGCAGAAAAGCAGCGTCTTATTTAACACAAAGTAGTTGTTGATGGTTTTATTTGTTTGTCAAATACAGGGATAGTCCATGTACAGAAGAACCAGAAGATTTTTGTCAAGAGCTGTACAATATTTACACAAAGGCTTTACTTTTGAAAGAAGCACAGTATTAGATTGTTCCAAAAGAATACTCAGAATATAGACAAAAGACAAACAAACAAAAACAAATTTCCATTTTAAATAGTACTAATACATAATCCCTCTCTAATGGGAACCAGATGCTTCACTCTCGCTTTCAATTCCATTTATTTTCTCTGTAGAATGCACTGCAATAATACCGTTTTGCGTAGCTTGAAATAGTTTGTTCTACTCTGTCTTTCTCTTCTCTTCTATAACAGATCAAAACGATAATACATTTTCCATGGTGTCTACCCACCTTTGATGAGCAAAAAGGAAGACAGCTCAGAATGTGGCAATAAGATCCATGTATAACATCTGAACAAACATTATTTGAACCGTTTTATATGAAGCATCACTGGTTTGTATTGTATGTGCGAATTGCTGTTAAAAAATGTCTTTATAAATAATAAAAATGTATTACTTTAGCTTGTTTCACGTGTGGAGACTAAAGCGTTGAATGTCATCACATGTCATTGCACGCATCTTCATCTTCTTCTGCACTCGTTTCAGAAAAAAAAACTGAAATAAAACTGTTATTGTCTTAAAAAATTATTCGTGTAAAATTCAGTAACAGATTTCCTCCTAAAGTCGGCGCGAAGCGAACTCCTCCTGTCAGTTATTCCCGCGACGAATCGGTCGATTCGAAAGTATAAAGACTTCACACAGTATATTCCTTCAACCGTAGCTCCATGGTTCTGTGTACCATTTCCTTCGGATTCATTGAAAATTCGGTCAAATCTGATCTCAGTTTAGTCACATCCATATGCCTGAACGCTCAGGACGGATCCTGCGTTTTTGCACACGTTTGTAAAGAGTTAATAAAGTCTGGCGGCAACCTGCTGGGCTCATCGCCCGGTCCTCTCCTGTCGCCATTTAAAAGAAACATTTCTGTAAAACCGAGGAGGAGGAGGACAGGAGAGCTAGGCAACAATAAATCCAGCTTCTTTATACATCAAGGCCTTTTTTCATGCTCCCCCGTCCTTTCTTTTCCTCTCTGTCTTAAGCTTTGGTGCTGAGGGTCATCAGCTCTAAGAAGGAGCTGAAGAGCGTTTCATGCTCCCCCGTCCTTTCTTTTCCTCTCTGTCTTAAGCTTTGGTGCTGAGGGTCATCAGCTCTAAGAAGGTGTTGAAGAGTGTCTCCAGCCAGCTCTGATTGGCCATGCACTGCTGAACAACTTCCTCTTGTCCAGGATCTTCTGAAGCCTGCTCTATAGTGTTCGTCTGAAAGAAAAGAGAGCATTTCAATGCAGATTTGCATTGCATTTGTTTACTGCAGCTGCTTATGGGAAATGTAGTTCGATCCTTACCTCTTTCTTACAGTGTAAGAAGGTATGATATTTATAATGATGCAGCGAATGGTAGAGACTGTAGAGTCGACATGTTTCTGTTGACAACTTGAGGTCCTGGCGGAGACAGGAATGGTGACGTTAGTATTATTATTGTTTCTACATTGTCCTTGTTAATTATTAGGGCTGTCACTGGAGTCAAAATATTTTTATATTTATTTTATTATATAATGTGCTGCTCATGTTCTGTAAGTAAAACCAAGCATGATTACAAGTATGCATTAAGTTTATAAAATAATTTCAATCATTCAAACTCAAATATTGCACGTCCATTTATTGACTAATAAAATACGCAACCATTCAAAAGTCAAGGGTTGCCGAGATATTTTTGAAAGATGTCTCTTATGCTCACAAAAATACAGTAGAAATTGTAAAAATTAGTACAGTAAAAATTACCCAGTAATATTGTGAAATATTACAATTTAAAATAACTGTTTTATTTCTGAATATATTTTAGAATGTAATTTATTTCAAATGATGCAAAGCTGAATTTTCAGCATCATTACTCCAGTCTTCAGTGTCACATGATCCTTCAGAAATCATTCTAATATGCTGATTTGCTGCTCGAGAAACATTTCTTATTAATATCTCTGTTAAAAACAGTTGTGCTGTTCAATATTTTTGTGGAAACAGTGATACTAAAGCAATAAGCCCCAAGAAGCCGTGGTTTACAGTGAATTCATAACAGCTAAGGGGCGTTGTTAGGTAGCTGTCGAAGCGGAGTTATTCCAAAACGTTTATTCCATAACCGTAGTTAGGTTTCTCGAAATAAAACAGAGCAAATAAAGTGTAATGATATTAATAAAAACAGTATTCTTCCACCAAACAATGTAGTTCCTCAGAAACAGTTGTGGTTGCAACAAAGTGGTTGCCAAGCAACACACAAAGTAAACAAAGGTGTATGTTTGTAGAGTAATTTACAACAGCTTCGAACGCGGCTCAACCAATCAGAATCAAGGACCGGAACTAGCCGCTTTATAAATTGTTTTTCTAGACAGCTAAGGGGCGTTGTTAGGCACGACGCGAAGCGGAGTTATTCCAAAACGTTTATTCCATAACCGTAGTTAGGTTTCTCGAAATAAAACAGAGCAAATAAAGTGTAATGATATTAATAAAAACAGTATTCTTCCACCAAACAATGTAGTTCCTCAGAAACAGTTGTGGTTGCAACAAAGTGGTTGCCAAGCAACACACAAAGTAAACAAAGGTGTATGTTTGTAGAGTAATTTACAACAGCTTCGAACGCGGCTCAACCAATCAGAATCAAGGACCGGAACTAGCCGCTTTATAAATTGTTTTTCTAGAATTGTCACTTTTGCTCAATTTAATGCAGCCTTGATGAATAAAAGCATTCTTTAAAAAAAAAACAAGAACAACAAATAAATAAATAAATAAATTGATTACAAATTAACAGCCCTATTAATTCTATTTAAAAATAAAGGGGGTGGGACTATGGGAAGCTGCCATAATCAGATCAGATTCAGAGGTCTGCAGCAAAAAAAAATGTAGGTTTTGTTGACCTGTGGTTTGGGAACACTCTTTTTGATGCGGTTCAGGGTTTTGCGGTTGTAGCATTCACCACCCAGTCTGACCCTCACCGTCCCCGAGTCCAGGGGCTCCGCTGTTATCTGAGGGCAAGTGTGAAGAGCTTCCTGTGGAGCAGAAACGGAAGGAACTTTAGGCGAAGAATGGTTGCAACAGGGTTCACACAAGGTCTGTAAAATGCTTGAATTTAGCTTTTAGAAAATTAAACTCTTCATTTAAATGTAAAAGGAATATGTGGATTCAGTTTGCACACAAGAAACAATTTTATTTCTGTCATGACAACCCTCTGAGAGTTTAGCATGGTAATATATAGGGCTGGGTTTTGACACAAATTTCACAATTCGATTCTGATTCACAAGCTTGCGATTCAATTCAATTTCCGATTTGATTCAATTCAATATCGATTATTTTGGATATATATCAGGTACAGTAAATGCCAAATTTTCTCAAGGAAAAAAAAACCTCTCAACTAATGCTGTAAAATATACACGAGTCAGTTGGCACTATATTACTGTAATACTGAAGGTTGAAATTAACTGATTTGTATACAAACGCTTAAATTACACTCAATTAAGTTTTTATAATAATAAAAATACAATTACATAATTATATTTCTACTCCAATTTGTTTTTTTAAATAAACATTTAAATTGTGGCTGTCATAAAAACTTGACGGATTTAATCAAACAAATTAAACATTGAAGAACAGTAAAAATTATAATGAATATGTTATATGGTACATATATTTAGCAAAATGCTCCTCTCTAGAGTTCATTTTTCTAGCTGCCTAACAAGCGTATGGTCATTGAATATGTTTTTTCGGAGGTAAATGTGACGTTACGTGACATTGCTTACAAGCTGTTATATTGACGTCTTTCTGCCGTTGAAACACTGATTGAGCGATTATATGAGACAGGATATGGATTTCGTTAAGTTGTACTCCTTCTTTTAACATACCTTCGGGTGTTCATTCATGTTTATTTCGAGCTGAACCTGGTAACATATATTACACATATGAAATAACCCCCAAATATGACATACATGAAATCACACCATAGCAGATCAATAGAGGTGGAGCTGGGGAAGGTGGAGGGTTTTTCAACAAGCACTAGCCAAGTATTTGAATGCTGAGCAGCAAGCATATTGGCTGCTGATGCGAAAAGAAACCAATCAAGCTGTGCCATGTGAATGATGAAATTATACAGTTTGAATTAGAACCTATCGGCCTGTGCCATCTAGAGTTTCATGACAGAATATGTATATGTATATATATAATATGTATGAATATGAATATGTATATATAATTTGTATATGTTGGAAAAGTATAAAAAGTCTGATATATTCAGAATTACAGTAACAGTGACTACGATCTAATCGTAGTATGTCACAGATTGCCTTGGATAAGTAAGTATTTTATACTGTAGATTCTTCCGGGCTCACGCTCCACTCAAGAGTCATGTGAGTTAAATGCTTTACTGTGCAGTTTTGTAACCATGTTCAAGATCAGTTTGTTTCTGAAATGAGTTAAAACGCATAAATGAATATCTGTGAGTCTCTCTCTCTGCTCTTTTTAATTATCCAGCAACTAAAAATGAGCTGTGAAATGAGCAAAACACTATACATAATGCAATTAGTGTCTAAAACAAGAGAAATTATTAACAGTCTCCAAAGGAATAAGCATTCATCACACAGTAATTTCTAAAAACTGGGTAATTCAGCATACTGAATAATCAGCAGAAGGCTATTATTCTGAGATTTTAAAGTGTAGGGTGTATTTCATGACATTAAAGGTGCTCAAGGCTGCCATCTACTGTCTGTATTTATTTATTTATTAAGTATTTTATAAAGACTTTTAACTTCATATATATTTTGTCCTTAGTGCGAATTCTTTTTATATATTATATTCTGTTTATTTTCTATAAAGAACGAAGATAACGAGAAATAATTAAACTAAGAAAAACATTATATGAAGTCCTTGAAAAAAAATGGTGCTGGAAAAAGTGCTTGAAAGTCCTTGATTTTCAAAACGTGGTCCCCGTATGAACCCTGTTGCTAAGGGACACGAAAGAGAAACTGAGCAATTGAATAAAAAATAAATAAATCAAGCAAGCACAAATAATAACGTGAAGTACCTGGTGCTGAGAGTTCATATTGACTCTTTTCAAAAGCTTCCTCTTCTGCTCACTGAGAAGGCTGTCAATCTTGCGCATTGGAGGAAGATATAATTCATCTGAAATAGCCAATAATGCAAAAAGAAGTGAATTTCATCTTCTGGTTTGGTAATGACAGAGCGCTAGTTTGTTTGAGAGGTAATCACATTCACTTACCTTCTGTGTCCTCTAGAGCCTGAATCATGTCCGGGTCGAGTGCCGTACTGACCAGCATCTCCACGTAGCTCCGGTACATCTCACGCATTGCACGTGTGTTCAGGCCCGCTTTGACTGAGACTGCTGGACAGACACACATCAAGTTATATTCACATCAACACACGATCATAACTGCACACTGCCTGCTATTTTATGTCACATGACTGCATTTTTTTTTTTTTTATGTGTGTAAAAAGTCATTTTGCATTATAGTTGCACAAAAACAAGTCACATTTCACTCCAAAATCAAAAGGAAAAAAAAGAATTTATATTTTACAAATTAACCAGACCAAGACCAATTTTATATTTTTCAGACATTATTTTTATGACAGTTATGACTTCCACAATTCCTACAAAATTCTGATAATAGTAATGCACATAAAGGTTTTCATTTTTATGGGGTTTTTTTATATATAAAATATTTTGTTTTTTTTTATATGTAATTCCCATTATTCTTTGAAAAATGGCTAATGCATTTTTTTTTTTTTAAATCTGCAAACACTAAAGGCAGTAACACTAAAAAACAATGTGATATATAAACATTTTAGAAATAAAACATATCAAATAATAAGATTATATATTGAAGATTAAGATTTTGCAATACAATAATGAGAAATAACGTCAAAGAAAAAGAAATAATCACAACGCCAAAAATTGCACAAATTATTCTTCAAATATTTTATTTACTAATTTTATTTTTAGGGGCTTTTTATTTTTTGTTTTGTATTTATGCGTTACAATGTTGCATGTTGTTGTATGTTGAAGTTGAACTGAACTATAGGCTTTTCTTTTCTATGCAAAACATAATTTCCTAATTTTTGTCTTTTGATTTCAGGGTAAAATATAATCTATGAATATAGTTTATGGGTGTATTCACACCTGTCTTGTTTGGTTCGATTGAATCGAACTCAAGTTCATTTCCCCATTTGGTGCGGATCTTTTGGGCAGGTGTGAATCCCCAATTGTAAGTCGCTTTGGATAAAAGCGTCTGCAAAATGACTAAATGTAAATGTGAATACAGCAATCGCACTCGGATGCGCACCAAACAACCGTACCGAGACCCAGCTGAAGAGGTGGTCTCGGTCCGCTTCCAAATGAACTCTGGTACGGTTGAATGGATGAACCAAGGAATGGATGACCTTAAGCACACGTGTGGTTTTGTTTACAGTTTCTGGTTCACTTGCAAAAAGGTTCTGGTTCACTCACCAAACAAAAAAAATCAACATTGTATTTGGTCCGGACCAAAGCAAGCGAACTAGCAGACTTTCCTGGTGTGAATACACCCTAAAGAGAATGATCTATTTTTATTCAAAACTTTTACAATACAAATGTCTTAAAAGGTTAGTTCACCCTAAAATGAAAATGATGTCATTAATTACTCACCCTCATGTCGTTCCAAACCTGTAAGATCTTCGTTCATCTTCGGAACACAAATTAAGATATTTTTGATGAAATCCTGCATAGACAGCAACGCAACTGTAATGTTCCCAGGTCCAGAAACGTAGTAAGGACATCGGTAAAACAGTCCATGTGACATCAGTGGCTCAACTTCAGTTTTGCGAAGAGTACTTTTTGAGCGCAAAGAAAACAAAAATAAACATTTTTTCAACAATTCTTCAAATGCTTTACTGTGCAGTTTTGTAACCATGTTCAAGATCAGTTTGTTTCTGAAATGAGTTAAAACGCATAAATGAATATCTGTGAGTCTCTCTCTCTGCTCTTTTTAATTATCCAGCAACTAAAAATGAGCTGTGAAATGAGCAAAACACTATACATAATGCAATTAGTGTCTAAAACAAGAGAAATTATTAACAGTCTCCAAAGGAATAAGCATTCATCACACAGTAATTTCTAAAAAGTGGGTAATTCAGCATACTGAATAATCAGCAGAAGGCTATTATTCTGAGATTTTAAAGTGTAGGGTGTATTTCATGACATTAAAGGTGCTCAAGGCTGCCATCTACTGTCTGTATTTATTTATTTATTAAGTATTTTATAAAGACTTTTAACTTCATATATATTTTGTCCTTAGTGCGAATTCTTTTTATATATTATATTCTGTTTATTTTCTATAAAGAACGAAGATAACGAGAAATAATTAAACTAAGAAAAACATTATATGAAGTCCTTGAAAAAAAATGGTGCTGGAAAAAGTGCTTGAAAGTCCTTGATTTTCAAAACGTGGTCCCCGTATGAACCCTGTTGCTAAGGGACACGAAAGAGAAACTGAGCAATTGAATAAAAAATAAATAAATCAAGCAAGCACAAATAATAACATGAAGTACCTGGTGCTGAGAGTTCATATTGACTCTTTTCAAAAGCTTCCTCTTCTGCTCACTCAGAAGGCTGTCGATCTTGCGCATTGGAGGAAGATAGAGCTCATCTGAAATAACCGGTAATGCAAGGAGATGGGTGAATTTCATCTCATGTTCTGATGATGACAGAGCGCTACGGTAATCACATTCACTTACCTTCTGTGTCCTCTAGAGCCTGAATCATGTCCGGGTCGAGTGCCGTACTGACCAGCATCTCCACGTAGCTCCGGTACATCTCACGCATTGCACGTGTGTTCAGGCCCGCTTTGACTGAGACTGCTGGACAGACACACATCAAGTTATATTCACATCAACACACGATCATAACTGCACACTGCCTGCTATTTTATGTCACATGACTGCATTTTTTTTTTTTTTATGTGTGTAAAAAGTCATTTTGCATTATAGTTGCACAAAAACAAGTCACATTTCACTCCAAAATCAAAAGGAAAAAAAAGAATTTATATTTTACAAATTAACCAGACCAAGACCAATTTTATATTTTTCAGACATTATTTTTATGACAGTTATGACTTCCACAATTCCTACAAAATTCTGATAATAGTAATGCACATAAAGGTTTTCATTTTTATGGGGTTTTTTTATATATAAAATATTTTGTTTTTTTTTATATGTAATTCCCATTATTCTTTGAAAAATGGCTAATGCATTTTTTTTTTTTAAATCTGCAAACACTAAAGGCAGTAACACTAAAAAACAATGTGATATATAAACATTTTAGAAATAAAACATATCAAATAATAAGATTATATATTGAAGATTAAGATTTTGCAATACAATAATGAGAAATAACGTCAAAGAAAAAGAAATAATCACAACGCCAAAAATTGCACAAATTATTCTTCAAATATTTTATTTACTAATTTTATTTTTAGGGGCTTTTTATTTTTTGTTTTGTATTTATGCGTTACAATGTTGCATGTTGTTGTATGTTGAAGTTGAACTGAACTATAGGCTTTTCTTTTCTATGCAAAACATAATTTCCTAATTTTTGTCTTTTGATTTCAGGGTAAAATATAATCTATGAATATAGTTTATGGGTGTATTCACACCTGTCTTGTTTGGTTCGATTGAATCGAACTCAAGTTCATTTCCCCATTTGGTGCGGATCTTTTGGGCAGGTGTGAATCCCCAATTGTAAGTCGCTTTGGATAAAAGCGTCTGCAAAATGACTAAATGTAAATGTGAATACAGCAATCGCACTCGGATGCGCACCAAACAACCGTACCGAGACCCAGCTGAAGAGGTGGTCTCGGTCCGCTTCCAAATGAACTCTGGTACGGTTGAATGGATGAACCAAGGAATGGATGACCTTAAGCACACGTGTGGTTTTGTTTACAGTTTCTGGTTCACTTGCAAAAAGGTTCTGGTTCACTCACCAAACAAAAAAAATCAACATTGTATTTGGTCCGGACCAAAGCAAGCGAACTAGCAGACTTTCCTGGTGTGAATACACCCTAAAGAGAATGATCTATTTTTATTCAAAACTTTTACAATACAAATGTCTTAAAAGGTTAGTTCACCCTAAAATGAAAATGATGTCATTAATTACTCACCCTCATGTCGTTCCAAACCTGTAAGATCTTCGTTCATCTTCGGAAGACAGCAACGCAACTGTAATGTTCCCAGGTCCAGAAACGTAGTAAGGACATCGGTAAAACAGTCCATGTGACATCAGTGGCTCAACTTCAGTTTTGCGAAGAGTACTTTTTGAGCGCAAAGAAAACAAAAATAAACATTTTTTCAACAATTCTTCTCCCCCGAGTTACGTCTTCCGCCATTTTAGAGAATATTACAATGCATACGCACGCTTTCCCCTAAGCGTAAACAACGCTGATTATGCAGATTACGTTCTTGGGTACTCTCCAAAATGGCAGAAGACATAACTCGGGGGAGAAGAATTGTTAAATAAATTATGTTATTTTTGTTTTCTTTGCGTTTGTTTTCTTTGTGCTCAAAAAATATTCTCGTAGCTTCGCAAAACTGAAGTTGAGCCACTGATGTCACATGGACTGTTTTATAGATGTCCTTACTACGTTTCTGGACCTGAGAACATTACAGTTGCATTGCTGTCTATGCAGGGTCTGAGAGCTCTCACATTTCATCAAAAATATCTTAATTTGTGTTCCGAAGATGAACGAAGGTCTTACGGGTTTGGAACGACATGAGGGTGAGTAATTAATGACAGAATTTTCATTTTGGGGTGAACTAACCCTTTAATGATAAATAAAAATGCACATTCAAGATGACTGCAATGTTAATTTGTCACATAAGAAACGTACATTGCACATCTCGGCAAATGGATGCCATACATTTTAAAAGTAAACTCACTTTCATCCTCACTTGCTGAGGAGTCCGAGTCTGAGGATGAGGGTACTTCCTTCAGCCACATCCTGCGTTTCTTAGGCGGAGGTTCAGCCTTCACCTTTGGTGGCTGAGGTTTGGCAGAGCGTTCAGTCTTCTTCTCCTGTCCACCGCTCCTCTTCTCCTCCTTCACCTTCCCTCGTTCTGTCACCGCTGCTCGTTTCTCAGGCTTCTGAGGTGGCGGAGGAGGAGGTGAAGCTTTCTTTTCTTTCTCTTTCTTTTCTTCCTTCTCCTTGGTTTTAAGCACTTTTTCTCTGTCTCGCTGTTCCTTTGGCCGAACATTGTTCTTCTCTCGGCTTTCACGTGGCTCCTTAATCTTCTCTCTGTCTTTTTCAGTCCTCTCTAAAGGAGTCTGGTTGTTGGGGGGTGGCGCTAACTTCGGAAGAGGTTGAGACTGTCTCCTACAAAGTAAAAAACAACACCTTTATCAAGCATGTCAACAGTACAAAACATGCAAATTACCCTACCCTAGATGAATAAACATAAGGGCTATATTAGCGTCCACACCAACATATGACAGCGATCTGTTTATTACATGTATGCTGCAGTAGCAGCGTCTGCCACTTTAAACGCTCAAGCTCTTTAAGGTTGGGTGGATTCTAATTGGCTGTCAATGTTTTTATCCTTGAGCAGCTGGAAAAAATGTTCTGAAAATTATTCCAATGATATAGTTCCTCTATATCCTTATTTTTATAGTTGTGGTGTGGATTTTCCTGTTCTCTTAAAGGGATAGTTCACCCAAAAATGAAAATTACCCCATGATTTACTCACCCTCAAGCCATCCTAGGTGTATATGTATATGACTTTCTTCTTTCAGACGAATACAATCGAAGTTATATTAAAAAATTTTCATTGACTTGACAAGACAGCAAGATAAACGGGTTGAAATACCTCATGTTGACAGCCCTGTGCCAGGGCTTACGGGAACAGACCCTCACGTAGTCTTTTTTGTTTATGTTTTCCAGAAACTTCCCATACAGCCGCTGGTAGCGCTTTTTGGCATCCCCGAAGTAACCCAGATACTGAGAGGAAGCAGAGAGGAGAAGGGGACAAAAGAGGACACAACATTTAGAAACTTACAGTGACACAACTTAAAATACAAAAACAAAACTAAGCACACAGAATCACCAATCACTTAAAGTTGTGCTGATAAATACTGTACTATCCAATGAGTACAGTTCACATTACTACATCATTTACATTTATGCATTTGGCATATGCTTTTATCCAAAGCAACTTTGCATTCAAGGTATACATTTTATCAGTTCATGCATTCCCTGGGAATCGAACCCATGACCTTGGTGTCACCATGCTCTACTGTTTGAAATACAGGAAGGCTAGATTTTAACAATTTCTGAAGAAAATGTGAGTGATGCTTAATGCCACAATGCTAGGGTGTTCTGTGGTTGCCATGATGTTGCTTTGCGGTTACAAAGGTGTTATAAATGGTAGTTTGATAATGTGCTGCGTAGGTGAATGGGATTAGCCTGTTTTATTTTCCATCGGACAAAAATAGAAAGTCTGATAATTCTGAAAATTAATAGTAACTTTACAAGTAGAAATTTTGTAAAATCACAATAATAACAGTGATGCTTGCCATGGCAAACAGCACTATTAAGTAAGAAGTGAACATATAGAACAGTAGAAATAGCTGAAACATTGTGTGCTGCTTTTTACAAACATGTGATTGGTCATGACTCACATTACTAGTGGCACAAAACTGTCTTTGTCCATCCTTAATCTCGGGGGAAAACTTCTGTAGCAGAGCTTTCTGTACACGCCAAATGGGAGGGGGCTCTCGTCCTGTCTGCAGGGCCAACTAGGGAGACACTCAAAATTAAACCTACATACCACATCACATTATTTATCTGCACATATGTATTATACACATGCTGACAAAGATCTAAAAAGAAAGAGAATGGACTGCTGTACCTTCAGACTCCTGATGTCCTCAATTCGCACCACAAACTCATCTCTCTCTCTGAAAATACCCTCGCCTCCACTCTCACTCTCATCCTCATCAGTCTCGCCAACAATGGCAGCACCGCTCTGTTTCTGTGCCAAGTGCAACGGTAGAATTTGAGGCGCAGGGGGCTCTTCAGGAGAGGCGGGCTCTGCAACGAATTCCTGTACTGGAGGTGGACTGGGCGAAGGTGGGCTAGAGGATAGAGGAGGCTCTGCAGGAGGAGGAGGTAGAGGAGAGAGGACAGGCACAGAGGAAGCCACAGGACTGGGTGGAGGCGTCTTCCAAGCTTTATAATGGCAGTGAATGGTGGTCGAGATTTTTAAGCAAAATAAAGTGCATCCATCCAGGTTAATAAAGGCCTTCTGAAGCGAGGTGGTACGTTTGTGTAAGAAGAATATCAATTTTTAAAACTTTTTAAAAATACGTTTTAAATATGGATATTTTTCGTACACAAGCGCATTGATTCACTTCAGAAGGCCTTTATTAACCTCCCGGAGCTGTGTGGAGTACTTTTTATGATGGATGGATGCACTTCAAAAACCTCGTAACATTAAGTGTCTGACCATATATAGAGCCACAATACCAACTCTGATGACGCTGTTTAATTACTGAATTTGAGGCGCAGGGGGCTCTTCAGGAGAGGCGGGCTCTGCAACGGACTCCTGTACCAGAAGTGGACTGGGCGAAGGTGGGCTAGAGGAGAGAGCAGGCTCTACAGGAGGAGGAGGTAGAGGAGAGAGGACAGGCACAGAGGAAGCCACAGGACTGGGTGGAGGCGATTTCTGAGAGGGGGAAGGATTGTCCTCCTGTGGAGGGAGAGGAGAGGGAAGGGGTGGAAGTGGTGATGGCGAGGAGGTGGAGGAGGGAGCAGGGGATGATGGGGAAACTGGGAGAGAAGGGGGAGCTTGGGCTTCAATAGCTTCTTTGAGTGAGTCTGCAAGAGAGAACGGTACTCTTAAATTTTCAACCACCCACAGTATTAACAAAATAACAGCAAGTGTTAAATTGTGTCTTAATAATGCCCTATTTTAACAAGGCACAGGTGTTTGTGAAGCTGCTTAATTCATCCTACTTTCCAAAAATGACCCTCACCTCCAACTTTGGGGACACTCAGCAGCTCCATATCTGAGACTTTCTCTTTCTCTTCTTTGTCTTGCTCCACTTCCTCTTCTAGATCCTTCTCTTTTTCTTCCATTTCTTCTTCCTGCTCTTCTCTTTGCAATCTTGCAGGCTCAACGGAGTGGGTATGGGCATGTGAGGGCGAGTGTATATGCAGTGGTGGTTGAGGGCTGAGGGCTGGTGGCTGCTGTGTTGGTGTCAGTGGTTCAGGAGGAGGTGGAGGAGGGGGTGGTGGAAGTGAAGGAGGCTGCATTGTAGAGGTGAGTTGAGGAGTGTCATACAGGGCAGAGATTGCAGAGGAGATGCTCTTTTGCAGGTCCTGGTTCTTTCCGACAGAGTCCTCCTCATCGGACGAGAAGGAGGGCAATGTCTCAAGGTTCCTTTTCAGCTCTTCATCCAAACGCTTGCATGGGCTAGGACAGCCACCCAAAGACAGTCCTCCATCACTTTCACCATCTCCATATCCAGATAAAGCTGCAGCAGCTGGGGGAGGTGGAGGTTGAGGGGATAATGGGCGAAAGCTTCCACTTTTCCCAGGAGAGGCATCTTCATTTCCAGCGCTGTCAGCTGACCCTGTTGACAATCCTGATGGCCTTTTTCCAGACTTTAAAAAATCCAAAAATGAGGCAACAAAGCCAGTCTTCTCTGACTCTTTCTCTTCCAACTAAATATGAAGGGACAGAATTTTTCATTAGATCAAAATGTAAAAACATGCTCAAAAACACAGCTCTGGGATCTACACTGCATTCTCATACCTCTTGGGATTTGGACTTCTTGTCTTGAGGTCTGTTCATGTCAGGAACTCCGGGAGTCCCAGGGCTCAATCCCAAAGAGGGTGCTGAACCAAGGGAACCATCTGAGAGAGCCGGATCAGTGCCTGACAAGGAGTCTGTCCGCAACAAGGCATCAGAAGATGGCATGGTTCCAATAGGAAGTTTAATCTAATAAAGGGAAACAAGACATTATAGAAAATAACCTGGAACATGCAGATGTCCCATCATTCAAAAACTACAAGAGATGCACCGATAATAAAATTCTGGCAGACACTGATAAGCTGATTAGAGGTCGACTGATAGTGGATTTTACCGATACCGATAGCTAGGTTGGACTACACTGGCCGATAACCGATTAATTAAATGAAAACTGAATGAAAGTTAAAATAGTTAACTTTATTACAAAAAAAAAACAGTACTGAACCACACATTTAAAATGGAATAAAATGTTAGTATTAAATATTAATTATACATTGATCAATTTTAGTTCATAGTTCATTAACTAACAGATGCGTTCAATTCAAGCAGCGGTCCAAAACTGTTTATTTAATCCCCAAACAGGCAAAAGTTCACTTCAAGAATGAACAATGTGGCATTGATGATTTTGAAGTTTGGTGTTTGACAAAGCAAAGCAAAACAGAAAGAGAAAGTGTGATCTATATTATAGCACAATACACAATCTCCAAGCCTAGGGTGAAGTCATTATGCACATTAACAGGTTATGTGAGACAAATGTAATGTAATTTAATGGAAAGCTATGTGAGTGGCACTCTGTGGCGTGGAAGGATATCTATCGGTTGCATTTGCTTTCTCACGCCACTAGCTTTAAATATGCAACTTCTCTGGATTAAAGATGGTAACAATAAACTAATGTAAATAGATGTTAACAATTGTGGCATTAAACATTTGGGGCAGATTTGCGTGTGTTTTGTTCACATCGTTTTAACTGCTCAATGTTCTACTAATGTTAGCGTCCTCTCAGCCTTAACGGCAAACATACTGTTGTTTTTCTCTACTAATGCAGCATCTAGTCAACAATTTAATTACTTTATAATGATATGAAAACATGTACTGTAGTGTACGGTATACGTACGGTTTCGTTGTCGATCTTCCGCATCTGAATTGTCCCGCTCTGTGCAGTGCGCAGCCTCACGTGTCAAAACAAACAGCAGAGGCGTCAGTGATTCTCCTCTAGAAGCTGCTCTTGTACTGTATAATGACAGCGGACCGTCCTCAGCTGCTCCAGCAACTGACGCAACCCGGAAAAACTACCAATATGGATTTTTGGCAAACACCGATAGTTTCAGCAATCGACTATTCGTCCTGATTAATCGGCAACACCGATCAATCGGTTGACCTTTATATGTGTTTTTGATTAAATAAATGCAGCCTTAGTAAGTATAAGCATTTTTTTAAGCAAGCAACATACAGTATATGTTGTTTTGTTGTTTAATTATTATAAAGTGTTTTATTTTAGGACATTTACACCATTGTCTTCTATAGTGACCCATGTGGCAAGGCTGGAAATGCAACATTTCACTGTGTTATGAATAGTGTTCAGACACATTTCAGAAAGACAACTCGTTTGTTTAGCCAGAAGAGATCACTTAGAGCATGTCTGGTGCCTAAAACATGAAAACGGAATGGCTTCAGACAGATGCACTTAAAGTTCAAAGACACACACTTTACAATAATTAGAAACGTACCCTTGTGTTTATCACCTCTCTGTAACACTCTTCAACTGCTCACTAGATCCTGTGCTAGTGCTTGTTTTGGAGGGTTTAATTTTACTGGCTAAAGACCCCCTGTAAAAGTTTTGAGTAGTTTACCATACTTAAGTTCATCTAGACAATGGAAACATGCGTTTGGTTACGCAAAGATCAAAAAGAAGCAAACTGACTGTAATTCCAAAAGTAATCATTAGCAGAATTGCAGAGGCCATAAATTAAAATGTTTTCTATGTGTTTTACAACTGAATCTTAAAGCTTGGCCAGAGGCTCTTCATAATAAACATCAGATTTGGAGGGAATAATATCCACAATAACACAGAGGGAAGAACAATTTAACATGCTGAAACAAAGACTGATTTAAAGTAAAGTTAAACTGCTGTGATTGAACACTCTTGAATGTTTGGGCTACAGAAAGGCCTTTATTAATCAAATGCAATGTTTAAATGATATCTAAACATTTTGCAGCATATGTGTGTTTGGAGGTTTAAACTTTACACACAGCTGATCTTTCTGTTTATGAAGACTTCTGTTATTAGTGTTTTTTGTTAAGATTATCACCATTACTATTTCTCATACTTAGGGTGCAACTCGTCGAACATTTTGTTACTTTTATTATCTATCAATTAAGCATGATAGCAACCACCAGAACACCTTAGCAGCCACATACAGTAACAACTGTCGAATGCTAACATGCTTGTTTGTGTTGATTGATGTTTTGTTGAAACACAGTCAAACTGTGAACTGTGTCTGAAAAAAATAATAGCTTATAGCAACAAGACAGTTTAAAATGGAAGCTAATTTCTGCAATTAAATAAAATAAATAAATATAAATAAATAAATATAGTAATTTAAGGTAATTCTTTCTTATTGTAACATTACGATTGCGAGGCAATCAGAATTGCAAGAAGGAAACTAAACTAAGATAAAATTGTAGTTGTGAGAAAGAGTCAGAATTGCAAGTTTATAATTGCGAGTTTGTAACTTGCAATTGGGAGATATGATGTAAACTCACAAATCTCAAAAGAAAAGTCAATTTTGAGATAAAAACAATTTTGAGATAAAAACACACAAATGCTAGAAAAAAGTCTGAATTGTGTGATAAAAAGTCGCAATTACCTTTTTATATTTTATTTTGTTGTGGAAAAAAGCAATTCTTCAAAAGCAATTTTTGCGAGATATAAATTCAGAGTTGCAAAATATTAACTTAAAAAAAATACGTAATAAAAAAGTCAAATACAAGATGTTAACTCTCAATTCTGAGAAGAAAAGTCTTATTGCATTTGTAAATTACTTCTTTATAATTTATATTCTGACACTATGGGCCCTATTTTAACGATCTAAGCACATGGTCTAAAGCGCATGGCGCAGGTGCACTTAGGGCATGTCCGAATCCACTTTTGCAAGTTGGTAACGATGAAAAAAAATGGTACAGGCACATGGTCCAAAAGGGTTAGACCTATTCTCTTAAAGAGTCATGGGTGTGTTTTGGGTGTAACATGCAATAAACCAATCAGAGTCTCATCTCCCATTCCCTTTAAATGCCAGTTGCACTTGCACCATGGCGGATTTATATAGCACATTTTATACACAATAGTAATTCAAAGTGCTTTACATAAAAGGAAGTAAAATAGTCTTAAAAAATAATCACAACAATAAAACAAGGAATTTAAAAACTTTTAAAATGATTTAAAATTTGATTTAAAATGAATTTAAAACAGTTAAAGATAGAAAATGATTATATATGAAATACTGTGCAATCAGTTCGGACGTAGCACAGTGCTCATTCAATAAATGCACAGCTAAACAGATTAGTTCTGAGTCTGGATTTAAGTGTGGCTAATGTTTTAGCACATCTGATCTGTTCTTGAAGCTGATTCCAACTGTGGGCGGCATAATAGCTAAAAGCGGACTCCCCTTGTTTTGTGTGAACCCTTGGTATTTCTAACTGACTCGATCCTAATGATCTGAGTGGTCTGTTAGGTTTATATCTGCAATGTATTTAGGTCCTATGCCATTGAGTGATTTATAAATGAGTAAAAGTACTTTAAAATCAATCTTAACTATAACTGGAAGCCAGCGTAAGGACCTGAGGACTGGTGTGACATGCTCAGATTTTCTGGTTCTAGTCAGAATCCTGGCAGCAGCGTTCTGGATGAGCTGCAGCTGTCTAATAGTCTTCTTGGGAAGGCCGGTGAGGAGACCATTACAATAGTCCACCCTGCTGGTGATAAAGGCATGAACAAGTTTCTCCAAGTCGTGACTGGAAACAAAACATCTAATTCTTGCAATGTTTTTGATATGATAGTATGCTGATTTAGTTACTGCTTTGATATGACTACTGAAACTAAGGTCTATCTCCAGAATGACACCAAGATTCTTGACTTGATTTTTAGTTGTTTGACCCCTAGAGTCAAGGTATGCATTCACCTTGAGAACTTCATCTTTGTTTCCAAATGCAATGACTTCAGTTTTCTCCTTGTTTAACTGAAGAAAGTTCTGTCACATCCAACTGTTAATTTCATCAATACATTGGCAGAGGTAGTCAATGGGGCTGTTGTCATTTGGAGATAAGGCTAGGTAAATCTGGGTACCATCAGCATAGCTGTGATAGGCAATTTGGTTCTTTCTCATTATTTGACTTAGTGGGAGCATATACAGGCTAAACAAGAGCGGTGCAAGAATTGAGCCTTGTGGGACTCCGCATGTCATGGA